CCTAAACCCTAAACCGTTTGTGCCGTCACTTCCGCTGTCCTGCTGGCCGTCGCTGATCGCCATTGCGGCATCGGCAGCCTCCCTTGCGGCATCCTGGGTTGCTGTTTGCAGCGGCTTAGGGCCGTTTAGGGCTTACCTATAGTCTATAGAGGGTTTAGGGTTTAGGGTTCAGGGTTTAGGGTTTACTTATAGTCTCCATTGTAGTTCCTTTTTTTGGCTAACCAATTTTTATGGCTAGGAGCCTATAAGATAAATTTGGTTAACCAAAAAAAGGAACTACAATGCAATGGAGACTATAGGAAGGGTCCCTTACCAGATGATTGGGTCTGCAACTTGCTGCCGAGCTGTAAGCCCTAAACCCTAAACCCTAAACCCTAAACCCTGAACCCTGAACCCTAAACCCTAAACCCTGTAATCCGTCACACTCGCAGCCACTCGGAACTTTTTCACTGCACGCAGGTGGCGAGGCTCGGGGGCTCGTAGCTACTCTGCGTCACTACAACCTGTGGCGGATCGTGCGGACTGCAGCTGCAGCCATGATAGCTAGCAGAATGTATTTTCCGGGGCGAACTGGTCGGCCAGGGAGAGGCGCGTGCTTCTTGCAGTGCTGAAAGTCGAGCGTTTGGCAGAAGAAGCGCTCGACGTCTGCTGCCATGACCTCTGGCTGCTCGAAAGCAAAGAAGTGCCCACCCTTCGATGGAGTCGTCCACTGGCGAATGTTGTAGCAAAGTGCTGCCACGCTCCGTGGCAGCTTATAGAGGTCGTGATGTGCCCATAAGACCGCCGTAGGAACCTTCACGCTGATTTGTCGAAGCTGTGGCTGTGAAGACTTCGTCTCCTAGGTTCCCCAGCAGCCCCTTAGGGCAAATTAAGGGTACCCTGTTTTCCTATACGATTTGGGAACCCCAAAAGGAAAAGGGCAAAAGGGTACCACTCAGGAACCTAGCCTCCTTGGGGGGCGGGTGACTCTTCAAAGTTTCGTAGTAGAGCCTCAGGCTGGAGGTAATGCTCTGAGTTGTCCAATAGACCATGACATTTGTCCTTACTCGTCGCGAAGGCCAGGGAAACAAAAGGTTCTATAGGAAGCTGGAAAAGTTACTTAAAAGGTTACCTACTCTAGTATTAAGTTACTTAAAGGGTTACCTACTCTAGCATGATTAAGCTACTTAAAATGTAATCTACTCCAGTACTCAGTGTCCTTACTTCCCCAATAAGCCAGGGAAATAGAAGGTTAAACTTTCAGATTACTACTAAATTGCAAGAGCCCAAAATGTTTAAAGGTTGGGCATCCGAGAATGAGGATGAGAGCCATAAACCCTGAACCCCTAAACCCTTAAACCCCTAACCCTAAACCCCTAAGCCTAAACCCTCTACTCCAGTGCTGAGTGTCAAAATCTCATCCATGGTAAGACCGCTGGCCTCGGGGCGGCCGCCACGACTGTCGCTCCAGCTCTGAAACTTCTCCTGGGTCTTTTCTGGGTTTTGAGCTTAGGGGTTTTTAACATGCAATAGCCCCTTTTCTCCGCAGAAGCCTGCCCATTCGGGCGAGTTTAGGGTTTAGGGTTTAGGCTTTAGGGGGTTGGCAGGGTTTAGCATAAGGTTTGGATCTAGGCCGTAAGGTTTTCAGCTTAGGGTTTAGGCTTTAGGCTTTGGGGTTTGTAGGGTTTAACATAGGGTTTGGATTTAGGCTGTAAGGTCTTGAGCTTAGGGTTTAGGCTTTAGGGTTTCGGGGTTTAGGGGGTTTAGGGCTTTGAGTTTAGGGTTTTTGTCTTAAAGTGCAGTAGCCCCCCTTCACTCCGCAGAAGCGTCAAAAGGCCCAGTCATGAGCTTAGGGTTTAGGCTTTAGGGCTTCGGGTGGTCCTAAACCCTAAACCCTAAACCCTAAACCCTAAACCCTAAACCCTAAACCGGGCTTCGGGTGGTCCCACTGAAGAATCCGAGGCTCTAAGATCCAAGCTAGAAGCCCGACAGGGCTATCGTTGAGACCATATCCGAGACTTTGGGGCTTCGTGGCCTGGTTCAGGGTTTAGGGTTTGGGGTTTAGGGTTTAGGGTTTAGGGTTTAGGGTTTAGGGTTTAGGCCTGAATTTTCTGATACGCCGTCTCGTATTTGTGGAAGTACATGGTGCTTCTGATGCCCGCCCACTCCTGGGAAGACCAGAAAGGACATCCCAGCAAAACTTTCACAAGATCATACCAATCTCCAGGGACTGCAACACACATGTTTATATGTAGCGCCACGCACTGCTGCGGATATCGTTGCGCCACCAGTGAGGTGATGATTGCACCCCAGTCGCCACCCTGTGCAACGTAGCTGTCGTAACCCAGCTTCCGCATCAGCTCTGCCATATGATCCGCCATGAACACCACGTCCGCGCCTCTCTCCTTGGGTGCCTCACTCCAGCCGTATCCAGGAATGCTTGGTGCCACAACGTGGAACTTGTCAGCGAGCAAGGGCAGGAGCTTGAGAAACTCAACGACGGACCCTGGCCAACCGTGCACCAGCAGCAGGGGAATCGCATCACTATTCGAAGATCTCTGGTGTATAAAATGCGTCTGCAGTCCTCTGACCTCCAGACGGAAATGCGGCAGTGCGTTGAGCTCCGCCTCTTTCTGGCGCCAGTCGTACTTGTGGAGCCAATGCGAGACATACTCGGAAAGGACCGTCCGGTCCGTGCCGTAAGCCCATGCCCCGGAGGGGTCAGATCCTGAAGTCATTATTTGGTTTAATTGATAACTTAGTAATAGTTTTATGTTATGAAGTGCTCTTATAGCAATTCTAGACATTAAAATATAAAACCCAAAGCCCCGAGACCCCTATACCCTAAACCCCTTAACCCAGGACTCTCAGAAGTACGGGTTCCCCATTTACACTCATTGAAAACAAGGACCGTACTATGGTTGATGACGGTATGGATCATACCTTTTAGGTGTCTTGCTTACAACAAGCGAGCGATTTAGGGTCCATTACATGGATCCCATTATCCGTTGCAGCACTTGCAGTAGCCCTTATCATAAAATCCCCCAAGAAACGTGAACCTTCTTACAGTGGCCCGGAACGTCGCCTTTAAGGACCCTCAAGAACCCATATAGCCACCCGAAAGTCCCCTATAGTAATCCTTGAGAGCCTCCTAGAGCCGGATAGTAACCCCTAAGAGGGTTTAGGGTTTAGGGTTTAGGGTTTAGGGTTTAGGGTTTAGGTTTTAGGGTTTAGGGTTTAGGGATTTACAGAACCCCTCCTTTCAGAAATCACAGTAGTCCTTCCTGAACAGGTCTTATAGTAACCCACAAGGACTGACAGCACAACTTACAGAACTCTATACCATAGTCACCCTAACAACCTCAAACTACCCCATAGCAACCCTGAGGGAGCCCATATGGAACCCTAAACCCTGAGAACCTAAACCCTAAATCTTGAAAACCTAAACCTAAACCCTGAAACCCTAAACCCTGAAACCCTAAACCCTGAAATCCTAAACCCTGAACCCTAAACCCTAAACCTATAGCAACCCTTAAGAACCCTTACTAACTCCCTCTGTTCAGACACGCGCCACCTCGATCCAGGATCTCATCTGGTACAAGCCTAGCCCTGGCGAGCCGATCTTTTAGGTCCTGGGTTTAGGAATTTGTTTCTGTTGCGGGGTTTAGGGTTTTGGGTTTAGGAATGTGTGTTTTGGGGGTTAGGGCTTTGGGTTTTGGGTTTAAGGTTTTTTTTTTAAAGTGCAACGGCCTTTCACACAGTTTGCGCGTCACGCCTGCCTCGTCGAGGCGTACACCAAGGGGGAATCACCCCAAACATGTCAAGCGATTTTGCTTGAAGCATGACAAAAGACAACCCTTGTACAGGCAGTGTAT